AAATATCTATCTAATGCAAATCCCTGTTTATATATTACCAGAGGAAATGTTGACAATAAGGAGACATAGATGAGAGACAGTGGTGTTATAGCTTTTACAACAATGAAGGTCAAAGAGGCAATGTTTGTAGAAATGGGTCCGTTCCATCTAGCTCACTAATTAAGTACTGGGTCACTTGAGAATTGAAAACACCAGTATCAAGTGGTTGTGTAATCAAAAGACTTTATTGAACATATTTACTGAACATATTCTATGTACCAAGCATCTTGCTCTGTCCTATAGATATACAAAAATGAGTGCCATAGTGAGTAGCAGAAGTGAATATCCCTATTTCTAAATGTTTACAATCATATCTGGAAAAGAAATTATATGCACACAAAAGAACCAACATCACATAAAACAAAACACAGTTAAAACTAATGGAAATTGAATGGCATGGATTATAAACATGATGTGAAATCAAGAGGGGAGGAACAACACTTCTGGTTGGGTTAATCAGGAAAGACCTCCTGGAGAAGGCAGAGAGTAAAGTGAAGTTTAGACACAGTGCACAATGAGTAGAGCCCCATGTTGTATATGCTTTCTTCCCAGGAAGGCAATGAAGTATTATGACCATGGAATACTAAACAAAGGATCGTTTGGTTGTAAGCTTGGCAGATTTTGCTGACTGATATACCTAATGTTGACAGACTGAATCAAATCCTTAACTCTTTTACTTAGAAGTCAGTAAGATAGTTCCCATGTGGTTATTTATTATAAATCTAAAGTCATGCAAGGGCCATGGTTATGCATCTGCTTCTATCTGTGTGTTTCTCTGTGCATGCATATAGTCACAGTTATTTTAATAGAAAACATTTTAAAGAGCAACTACTATGTGCTAACTATTCTAAATACTTTGCCTTCATGTATTCATCTAATCTTTGTGACAACCCTACGAGGTAGGCTCTAGTGTCCTTAATTTAGAGACATAAAAAATAAAGTCTAAGGATTTTAAATGACTTTCCCAAGGATCACTATGAATCTGCCTTAGACACCCTTAGCACCAAAGTCTCCTTGGGTCACCTGATCAGTTCATTTCCTTGGTTAGATGTGAGGAAAACATTGATTGTGTCTCTACCCAGGATCACCCAAAGTCAACCTCATACATGCAGTTTATTAACATCTTTCAAAATAGTGGGTTCGAGGCTGCAGGAAAGAGCACAGCTTCCCAACTAAGTCCAGTCTTTTCTTTCTCAATTAATGAGGAGCTCAGGGCAGGGTACCTTTTCCACCATCCTATCTCAGAGAGTGAGTATGCTGAGTAGAGTGCTTTCATACTGTGTGTGACCACCCAGTGTATGACAGAAATGAATGGCCGATCCCTCCCCCTCCCTCGTGCTCAGAATTATCATCTGTAAAATGAGTCAATCAGCCTTAGTCTTTTCTAAAATGTGTCTGTATTTACAATCCTATAACCATTTAGCTTCATGCGATTCCATCCTCACCTCAACATATGAACTCTGGGTAAGTGACATTTCTTTGTGCCTAAATGTCTGTGCTGAGAAACTGCAGGGCTGTGCCTATCCCCCTGCCTTCTCTTGAAGGGATATGTTGGCAATGGCAGATTAAAATCACTTTCTGACTTTATCTGAGATACTATTCTCTGAAAATGGCAATGCCACCTGAGAGATGATGCTTTTACCAAGTTAGAACGTATTTTCTACCTATTGATTCCGCTCATTTTGCCTTCACAAACTTCCCTACTTACAGGAAGATTCTTTGTAGTTAAGGGGAAAAAAAGGGAAAAAAAAAAAAAACAGAAAGAGAACCCTCACTCATCCTCAAAGGGAATTTTGCTTTTTTATGTGTAATCATTAATATTGCTTCATAGCAGGATAATAAGGGGCCTCCTATTATCCCTTTGCCTTTATCCACTAGTTTTCTTCTTTTGTTTTGTAAAAGGGCTTTGTTGGGACCAGCAGATAGCATAATGGTTACATCGCTGGACTCCCATATAGTTGCCCATGGTTCAAGTCCCAGACCTGGTGACTTCAAACTCACACAGACATGCGTGTGTGCATGCCCAAGGTCCTGAGAAGAGAATGGAGGAGAAGGGACTGCAGCATGGCCATCCCCTCTGGGGTTAATTTCTTACTTTCTGTCTTCTCTATCTCTCTGTCTCTCCAGCGAGCACACGCAACCTACAACAAAAATTTCTCTCAAGAAATAATAAATAAATAAAGGGTTTTGTCTTTCTTTGTAGAAAGGTTTCTACCTACAGTACTCTTCTATTAGATGGCACCTGGTTTGAATGTTGAGTATGTTTACATACAAGATTAAGAAAATGAGCAGCTCTGAACTTGAAATAGGATATTTCCCCTTCCCCACCTCAGGCTTCAACATACACATTGTTGATGAAGATGAATCTTACATCATCAGTGTAAACAGTGGCTATGTAGTCTTGAAGAGACTCCTGTCTGGCTCAACCCTCAGTTAGCTGTACCTCACAACTCCACTCCTTCATCTCCTTAACTTAAAATGGACATATCCTCTTGTTCTAAGGTTCTATGCTTTTTACCTGACTCATGGCTAAATCTGAGCCAGGCTGATCATCCAATCCAAATGAGAAGTGACATATACTAGTTGTTGGATTCCTTTTGTAAAAAGAATCCGCAATGACCATCTTAAAGTCAGCCTGACTGTTGGTGATTGTCAAGAGGGCCTCTCCCTCAGCAATCCATAGAATCCAGCCAGGCGACATCCCAGGCCCCCTTGCCACGACGAGCCACGGCTCACTTCCTGAAGATAAATGTAACCCAACAGCATGGAGACTGAGACTTCAATAAAACCATGGCTGTGCCATGGCCCACTTTGTCTGTCTGTTCCTTGTGGAAGTTCCACATGGCAAGCATGTGAGTGTTAAATATGCATAGAATATATAGCATACAGGTGAGGGGCAAGACATGTTTAGTAACACAAGACAGCGTGGACAGGGTCCCGTCCATCCTCTGTGCACTTCCCGCTCTCCTCCATTGCACCACAGCATGTGAGGCCTCCTTCATACTCCCCAGAAGCCAGAAGACAGGAGTAGACATACTTCTCCTTCAGACTCTGCCATTCCTGGAACGTATGACCTTGCCAAGGACAGAAAATCACAACTTTAATGTACAAGTAACAAGACCCAGAGCTCCACAATGGCTGCATCATAAGCTCACTCTTTCTTAAACAAAAGGCTGCCTTGGGTAGAGGCCCCTTGGCAGACGCAGTGGCTCTTCCCTTTAAGCTACTCTGAAATCCAGGTATATGTTTGTTTTATTGCCCACATGTGCTGGATTATAAATCTTGTCTTCCAAGATGGACCACTTCTTTTTAAGTGTAATTGCTCTCAGAAAAAACTTGTTTCCTTATCAAGCCATAAAGGCTATCAAGGGTTGAATGTGCTGGGGTGAGGTGTGGAAGGCTGAGTGCCCCTCTTTACATCTGTCTCTTACCTCCGCATATGTTTCTTTCTGATCTTGTCTTGAACATACAAGGTGAGTGTGTACATCCTTCTTTCTGCCTCTTGCTACATTTCTCTAAGGTTCTCTAAGGATGTCTCACCTCTCCCTGCACCGTTCTGACTCTCTGTGTCTATCTATGTAGGTGAGTGTCTCTATCTTCCTCCCTGGCCTTCTCTCTCTAGATTCAGAAGCACACTGGGACAGGATTGAAAGGCATGTGTCTGTGTATATCCATGTACTCGGGGGCTCTCTTCCAGCTCCAGGTCACCATGTCCTTCTGTCTCTGTGTGTCTGAATTTCTGTTCCCTTCTCTGTTTCTCTATATGCTTTTGTGTGTCTCTTAGACACTACCTCAAATGCAAACAAACTTCTATATTATCCCTGAGGCTTCTTACAGATATTTTTTGTCATAATGCATTCATCTTTTAAAACTAGAGAAAAGAGAGGGACCACAGTGAGAAAGTGACAATACTGACACTATCATACAGGATGTCCTGAAGATGGGGATCTAGAGAAGATAAAGAGGGAACAGTTAAGTAGCATAGACTCCTCTGTTCACTCCCCTCCTTTACTTTTTGAATGCCAGAAGGGATGTGTGCATGAGGAAAAAAACCCCTAACAGGGTCTAGCCAAGCCACAATCCTTTTTCCTGTAATTGTCCATCTTCTCAGGGTCTCAAGTACATGCATGCACTAGGCATGATTTTCAAGCTTTGAGGGCCAGAACTTGAACCCTGGCCAGTCCTGTGGGACCTGGCTTCCTCTGTGAATGGCTTAACTGCTATGTTGTGGGGCTAGACCTCACAGATTATATAAGAAAATTATTTTAATCAAGAAAAAAGTTCTAACTTTAATTAATCAAATACATTTTTAAAAGAAATGTCATATCTATGACCCATATATAGTGACTCTCTTCCTTTGCACTTACCTTCCAAGTTAAAGTTGCAGCCTGGTTTGCTAGCCTGGTCCTTTGGTAGGATGACAAGAAAATTCAGAAGAAACGTTCTGTTGAAGACAAAGTATAATTGAATTTACCACTATTAATCTGTTGTCAATTATCTCAACTATTCAAGTTGCATGAGGAATCATGATCAACAGTGATCTATTTAATCCTTTCCCTTCACCTCTCTCCTCTTCTTTAAATTGGAACTGCTGACAGAGAAGACCTCCCTCCCTGCTTGGCCTAGATCTCTGTCCTAGGGATCTCCTAAATTGGGGAGAGATAGACCAGGGTCAGCAGAGAAGCAAACTGAATGATATGAGAGAGAGAGAGAAATACTAAAATAACACCTAATCATCAATAAGCCCTCAGTTTTTCTCTCTGCTTCAAAGAGCTCTGATCCCTAAGATGCAGTCTCTTACATCCAGATTTAACTCCCTTCCTCATGGTGCCTGTCCTACTCATAGGGTCAGTCTGCTGGTCTGCCAAATTCCCAATATTAAAGGTATCAGCTTGTGATGCACCTGCATCCAAAATATCTCTTAAATTTTAGATATATGCTGCCTAAGATAAGTAATATATTTTTTAAAATATTTTTATTTAACTTTATTTGTTTATTCTAGAGTAACAGAGTGAGAGAATGAGAGAGAGAGAAAGAGAGAGAGAGAGAAAATGAGAAAGCATGCTGCCAGGTCTGGGACTCAAACCACAGTCAGCCATGTGAGAGCCCAGTGCCCTTAACCACCATGCCACCTGTCGGCCCCCATAGGTAATATATTAACTCAGTAGTAGAGTTCTTATCCACATGAGTTCTTATCACGTAACGTTTAAAGTCAACACAGACAAGCACATTATTACTCTAGGTTTAGGGTGCTAGGATTGATCCTACTTATAGGCAGGTACCATGAGGAGGGGAGTTAAATCTGGGCTGTAGAAGATTGCTCCCTAAGGATCAGAGCTCTTCAAAGCAGAGAGAAGATCGATGACACTCCTACTTCTGTCCTCTAGGAAGGGTTGATAAAACAAGAGGCAGGCTATGGCCTAAAACTGAGGAGCAGGATGAAGGAGAGCTTGCAAGAGAGGAATGATGTACCTGGTGCCTGGATCAGTGGTGCTTAACCCAGCAGCAATTAGAATCCCTGGGGAGCTTTCAGAAAATGCCTAGGCCCTACCCACAGCAGTTTTTTATTTAGTTTTTCTTGAGTGGGGCTTGGATGGTGATCATTTTTTTTTTAAGTTTCTTTAGGTCTTTCTAAGGCAAAGCCAGCACTGCAAACTTCTGAAGCAGGCAATCAAACCCTGATAACAAATGCTGTGCATCATTCTGACTTGCTCACATAAAAATGTGATGAGACATGGGCAGAACAACTACATACTCCCACGGTGCTGAAGAGCAGAACGTCCTTACGGTGGCCTAAATGCATCAGTACTGAAAACACACCAGGAAAGGAGAAATGCTAACCGGGAAGGGACTGAGAGTCAGGCTTCTCTCCTGAGTGTGTCATAGCAGGTCAGAGTGAGGCAAGAGGGGAATACTCATATCAGGCATGCTGGTTGGAGGCAGATATCTGCAGTATTGGGACTCGTCAAAAAATAGATGACCAGCTCTTGACTATACATTTGAATCACCTGGGGAACTTTTAAAACTCCCTCTGCCAGGCCCAGACAGTGGTATCAGCAGTTAAAACATGACATTCGACAAGGATGACATAGAAGGGAAGGAGAGGTTCCCTGTTCATATCCAGAGATCTCTCTGAATATACCATGCATACTCATGCTCACGATCCAGGACCAGCTGAAGCTGAGGGTGGATTGTGACATCAATACCCCAGTGAGAGTACTGTCTCTCTGTCTGTATCCTACTCTCTCTCTCTCTTACTCATGGAAGAAATAAACATATACATTCTGAACTACATATGTTTGACGCATATTTATATATGCATTTATATACATAAATATGTATGTGTGTGTGTACAGACACATATAAATAACATATTTATATCTGCCAAAACTCAAGCTACCCTGTGGACTAATCAAATTAGAATTTTCAGGGTCATGACCCAGGCAATCCCATTTTTTGAGTGTCCCAGCTGATTCTGATATGTGACTAAGGTTGAGAAAAACTGCTTTAGGTATTTATTACTATCTATTCACATTTAAATTCTGGTATCAGGCCAGCCAGTGACATGGTGTTTAAGACACCTTAATCTCAATGGCCTACTGGGCAGTTTAAATTCCAAACACAGCAGCTTAGGAAACACACCAGGCACATGTGCGTCCAGGCCCAAAATCCTGAGAGGAGAATGGAGAAGAAGGGATTGTGGTGTGGCCATTGCCCCAGGGTGATTTCTCGCTTTCCCCCTCTCTCTCTTTCTTTTTCTCCGTCTCTCTGTTGAGGAGATACAACTTGTAGCAAAACAAACAGACAAAAAAAAAAAAAAAAAAAAAAACCACAAACACATTTTTAAAAATTAAAGTCTGATGTTTATTGCTGTCTTTGATTTTTAACTGAAAGGGATATAGAGAAGTCAACAATCTCCCAGGTGTGGAGAGCAAAGATTAAAAACAGGATCACAGCTTACGTGAGAGACGAGAAAGGGGAAAAGAAAGAGAAGAAAAAGGAGAACAAACGGGGCTAACAAAACCAAAGGAACGGAATGGAAAGACAAGAACTATGGGAGGGGTAACGCTGTTTTTCAGAGCTCAGAGTGCCCAGTCCCTGAAGGACCCAGCAGCCCCTTCATTGAAGATCTTCAACTTTGTCCCATAACCAGTGATGCCAGTACTATCAGACGGTGTGGGAAACTCTCGACTGCCTCTTCTCTGATGGCGGGTTATTCCCCTTCTGCTGCCATTTAAATCTTTTCCAGTTTTTTCCTTACTCAGTACAGTTAATGGGTCTCATCCTTTGAATATCAATAAATGGTTTCTAAGTTACAAAAATAAAAGATAAGCCTACTGTCCAATGACAACCTTCTCATGACACCCCTGAACAGGCTCCTGCCCTACTTAACTTCAAGAGCCACGGCAGCAGGCTCCTCTTGTAAGCCAAGCTATTAGGAAGTTCTATGTTTAGGGTCAGAATTGGTATTCCTGAAATTTTCACACTTTGGATATGGTCCAGCTGATTGGCATCAGGAAGAACAATAAGCTATCATCTTTCGTTTCTCTGTTTCATCATCTGCTCTCCTACTCAACCTCCCAGTGTCTTCCACCTCATGACTCTCCTCTAAAGTCTATTTTCACCTCTCTGGGTGTGGTCCTTATACCCCAGAAAGAATTTGAACAGCTCAGAGAAGTACTAGCTTGGCACTTCTGGAAAAACCCATACTGCAAAGTGTTGAGGTGATAATTTTGGAAAAAGTCTATGTATCAGAAACTTTAATACCATTGTTATCTTGACAAACTTTCAAATGCAAAAATCAATATAGGGCCAGCTGGTAGCATGGTAGCTAAGGTGACTGGATCTCATATGGCAGGCTGTGCATTTCAAGTCCCAGACCCAGAGGGTTGAAAAAACATGCTGGGCATATATACACATGCCCAAAAATCTTGAGGGGAGGGAGAATGGAGGAGAAAGAATTGTGGCATGGCCATCTCCCCCTTTGGAGTGCTTTCTCTCTCTCTCTCTCTCTCTCTCTCTCTCTCTCTCTCTCCTTTTCCTCTCTCCAGCGAGTGTGCATGCCCTATAGGAGAATTCATTTTGTTTAACAAATATAAAAGCTTTACCTCTGATATTCTGGAGATCCATTTGGCAGAAGTTACTCGACACTTTAAGGCTTCTCTTATCTGAGTGTTTAAGGAAGGGAGTTAAAAATTAGAAGATTATACAATAAGTTAATACATGCGTTTAGGCATGGCAAATACTGTGGCAAGAAAGTGTGTTAGTAGTTAGGTCCTCTTGGTGGGCGGTGGGAAAGTCAGTCACCTGAGGGTGTGATCTGGGAGGCAGGAATTGAAAAGAAGCAAGAAGTGAGACTGACCTAGGAGACTCATGCTCGGGGTCTTAATATGGCTAAGTACAGCTTGCCACAACCTTGAGGGTTTCTTAACATAGCATTGTCGTTCATTTTTGGAGCACTTAGATAATTAATCACTTCCCACATTTTATCAGTTATCCTAACCTCCTTTTTTAGAGGGAGGAAAAATACAACACAACATAGCAACAGGCCATGGAACCAATGAAATAATCATAAGTAACAATGATTTTTGTTTTACAACTTTAAAGCGTTTTTCTCACCTGTTAGCTCATTTTATCCAGAAGACAGACATTATTCATCCTACTTTACAACCAAGGAAATTAAGGCTCCAATATTAAGTGTCATCCAAATTCTGTCAACTAAAAGAAAGACCAGGACTTGAACTCATGCCCCTTGACTCCGGGTCATCCAGTCCTTTTCCCTAAGCCTTGCCTGCTCTTAACTTCCTCTCTTTTCTTCTGTTGTAAAAATGTTAATTCACCTTTGAAGGCTTTGTAGAAGTTCTTTCTTTACCATTAATGTATGCCAGAACACTCAGGTCAGAGTGGTTTCACCCTCTGTACCCTTCCAAGCAGCATTCTTTGTCACACAGGCTCCAAAGGGGGAGGAGCACTCCCCAGTGATAGGGGGTGATACACCCAAGAGTGCCCAGGGATTTGTGATGATAAACTGGAGCTTCTACTTACATTTCTTTGTTCTCAGTTTGCTTTACTTCTAGTTTCATGATGTATATAATACATACTTTGTAAATGCATAACAAACACATCTAGGATATATACTCATTGTTTTATACTGATCCTAACACTTTAAAGACTATCAGTACATACAACTTTTTGTTAATTAATTATGCACTAATTGTGACACTTGAATACTTCCCTTTTACATTATAACTTTCAGTTAAGGAGGTTTTGATCTCAGTAGAAGGTCCCATGGCTAGGAAGTCTTTGTACATCTCCTAGAACCTACCACTGAAGTACTCAGTCATAATGTTGTTTCTGATACTTCGGCTGTGAATACCAGTTACGGCATGACAATTCGTAGAAACATAATCCTGTGATATATGCCTATGTAATATCTTAAGTGCTTCCTGTGTACTTTCACTTTCAAAATTGCCTTGTTTTTTGTCATTACCTAGAGGACAAGGAAGGGAAAGCATCCCCCTTGCATTCTCTTTGAGAAATCTGGGGTTCACAAGCATCAGGAGCTCCCATAGAGCTGCACTAGCTGTGTTCATAGCACACAGCTAGTACACAGAAATATCAAGACTAATACTCTTTCATCTTGGAATAATTTTTACTAGGTTGACACAGTAGCCTCATAAGGCAATGAAAATACCATTGTGAAAGTCCTCGTTCACAAACTTCTGATATTAACCTAATAGCAGAATAGCATTGATAGGAACAACAACAACAACAAAAACTGAACTAAAGAAAACTTCTGGGGAGCCAGCAGTTGGCGTAATGGCTGTGTCACTGGACTCCCACGTAGTCGACTGCAGTTCGAGTCCCAGACCCGGTGGCTTAGAACTCATGCCAGGCGCATGTGCGTGCGTGCCCAAGATCCCGAGAGAAGAATGGAGGAGAAGGGATTGTGGCATGACCATCCCCCCGGGGGGTGATTTCTTGCTTTCTGTCTCTATGTCTCTCTCTGTCTGTTTGGCGAGCGCACGCGCCCTATAGTGAAAACCTCTCCAAAAAAAAAAAAAAAAACTTCTGCCGTGAAGGGAGTATTTTCATATTTTCAACCTGGTATTATCTCTTTTTATTTTTTTAAACTTTATTTTAATCGATAGAAGGTATGTCCATGTACATCTGAGAGTTATTTGCCTTGCTTGTTGCGGGAAGCAGCAGAGTACGATGGAAAGAGGGCGATCTTAGAAGCCTGAGAAATTAGTTGACATTTCATTCATTTGTGTAGCTTGTATTTGTTTCACCACCCACAACCTATCATTTGCATTTGGAAAATTCTCTTCCTTGAGCCCACTGCTCTTCAAGGTAGAAATCAGTAACTCACTTTCTCGACCCCTCTTGTAGTGAAGATGCAGCTGTGTGACCTGATCTCATGACAAAGCAAGAAAGCAGGTGCCAGTGGGCACCGACGGGCAAGGTGGAGGTGACCCCCAAATGAGAGAGCAGTAGCAGCAACCTTAGCTGAAGTGGCCACTGCTAGACATTGACCAGGTGAACTGTGCTAATCTGTGCCCATCAAAGGCAGGGAGAGGCAACGCTAGCTCTCCTGGAGCTGTTCTCCACCATGCCTTAGAGACTATTTCTGAGGTGTAAACCCCAAGCCTTCAAGCCAAAGAGAGATCTTTCCTAAGGTGATATTGTGACATTGAATAAATTTCTTTTTTGCTTCAACCAATCAGAGTGGATTTCTCTAGAGAGCTTGAGCAAGCTGCTTAATCACTCTGAGTCTCAATTTCCTCATCTGTAAAACTGAAAATAGTCATATCCAAGATTGCTTTTAGGATTAAAAGTAATGTATATAAATACCCCCATAAGAGTTTGTAAGTGTATAAATAATACACTTATAGAGATATAAATAATCCCTATAAGAGCTTGAAAGATATCATTTGCATTATAAAAAGCATGATGTCCTGTCCATGTGTCTACACAAATTATTGAGATGAAACACACTCAATGAGCAGTCTTTATAGATGTGTCTCTCAGGCCAGAGTACTAATAATGAAAAACAAAGCTTCAATAACAAAACTAGAAGAATTTACATAAAGTACCTTTGGATCCAGGATTGTTCCAAACACCAGGATGAAGAAGCCCTATGAAAGAGAGAAAAGCTATTTACAGAAAAATAAAAAACATACAATAATAAATGCCAGCTGGGGACTAGCAGGTGGCCTGATTAAAGCATTGGACACTCCCACATGGCCAACCATGGTTCAAGACCTGGACCTGGTGGCTTGCTTTCTCACTTTCTCTCTGTGTGTCTCTCTCTGGTCAAGTTAAAATAAATGAATGAAAGAATAAAACTGAATGAAATAATTATTTAAATAAATAAATAAATAAATACCAGCACTCTTTGTTAGTTCTTATTTCGGTAAAAATAAAAACAATTTTATTAAATCCTTTCATTTTGATTTTAAGGTCTCAACACTTAGATTCATTTATTCAACAAATATTGATTGTCTTCTATGTGCCAGACAGTGTTCTAGACATTTGGGATACCTCAGTAAAATGAACAGACTAAGATTCCTGCTTCTTAAAGTAATATTTTTAAAATTTCTTTCCAAGTTGGGGAAAATAAAAATATTTTCCATTTATCAGGAACTGTGCCTCTCAAAATGACCCAGAAAAGAGTGAGAGGTGTTAGGCAATGGGAAGCAGAAGCCCTGCAGTCCCTGAACAAGAGTAATAAAGAAATTTCTGCAGAAGAAAGCAAAAACAGCTGTTCTCAGCTTCCCATAGCAAACCCAATCTCCTTCCACCATCTACAACAAAGAATATAAAACTTCCAAAGAAAAACTAAATATGGGGCTGCCCACATGGCCTATCAATTAAGGAAGTCAGATTCCACATGGCCAACCATGGATTGAATCCTGATCTGGGCAGCTAGAAAGAAATGCCAGGAACATGTGCCTGACCAAAATCCCAACAGGATGGAGAAATGAGGAAGAAAAGATTACTAGTTAAGACCACTTGGTGACTAGTTAATGATAGCTGATGACTAGTTAGGACTAATCACCACGTAGGCAACTAGTCAAATCTAACATGACAAGTTAAGACTAGTGAACATTAGACAGAAAATACCCACAACAGGATTGGTGTGCTGAAAGATCTCCATGTGCAAATCCAAAACCTTCCTCAGTGGGTCAGCCTTGCAGAGTCTCACGTTTTACTATGTCCCTGTCAGAACACAGGAAGACCCTTTTACAGAGTTCCTGGTCCTACCCTCTGAGGATGACCTCTACTGGTTTTAAAGTTCAATCATCCCTTTTACTATGGAAGTGAAACTTGACCCTTGAACATGAGGATCAGGGGCACAAACCCTCTGCCCAGTGGAAAATCCCAGTATAAATTTCCACTCCCCTAAGACAACTATGAAGAGCCTGCTGTTGAATAGAGGACTTACTAAGAGTATAAATAGTTGACTAATACACGTATTCACATATTCTACATTGTATACTATACTTTTATAATAAAACAAGCTAGAGAAAAACGTCATTAAGAAAACCATAAGGGGACCAGCAGTTGGTGTAATGGCTATGTTGCTGGACTCCCACGTAGTCGACCGTGGTTTGATTCCCAGACCCAGTGGCTTAAACTCACAATGAGCACATGTGTGTGTGTGCGTGTGTGTGTGTGTGTGTGTGTGTGTGTGTACACAAAA